TCCTGTTGGGGAACAAGAAGAAGACGAATCCTGAGGTGAACCTGAGAGGTGACAGACACAGCTATTATTAGAAAAAACATAAATGATGCAGCAAATTTCTAGCAAAATAACTCATGACTCACCATCAAAACTTGAAAAACTACCATTTCTTTTCTGAGATATTTGACCAAATTAGCTTGATGTTTTATGAGACGTGGTTAATGGGCAGCACATAAAGATAAATCTGTGAAAGAGAAAAGCACATCTTAATTAAATGCAGCAAACATAATTACCTTCATGTTTCGTTTCATCTTTTGTTTCATTTTTAAAACGAGTTACAGAGGGTGTAATTAGGCGCCCCGATCAACAGAGGAATAACTAATAAACTCTCAGAAATAATCCCCTCGTCCTTCCACGTCCGTCACGTGCAGCTGAAGTAGACAGCCTGACTGTGAACACACCTCAGAGCAGATGGCACGTTTTGCTCATGATTTAGGACCTGATTATGCAATCCTGGCGCAATCTGGGCCGCATCATTTGAAGGGATTAAAACAACTCCCTTCCCTTTCAATCTGTATATCCCTCCCTCCTGTAGCATAATACTTTCTTCTTGTGCCCTTCATTGCAAAGCCTGTGTCTCCCTGACACACACACACACACACACACACACACACACACACACACACACACACACACACACACACACACACACACTCTGCACAAGAAACCATTTCATTTCCAGATTGAATCTATGAGTTTTTAGTAGCATAATTAAGTTCCCTAAGCTCCCGCTCAGCTGCTGCCTGCATTTTTCTAATAACCTAGCAACAAAATAATCGCCTGCTATTTTAAGGCTGTGAAAGTGTAAAAGCTGGGAACTGTCCAGACACAGTCAGGAGAAAAGAGACTCTTTCTTTCATCTCATTTTAAGATATTTGATTATCCAAGATTAACTTTTAAAACAGCATCCTAGACTCATCTTTAGCAGTTTAACGTCAAACATCCTGTTGAAATGTTTAATAAACAGATGATGCGATGCATCCCAAAATCTGTCCTCTAAATTAATTTCTGTATCTATAAAACCATCTGCCTGCTTGCACAAGAGGGCAGGTGGTATGTGATGGGCTGTGCAAACAAAGGTTTGCTCTCTCTCTCTCATGCACACACACATGCACACTCTAAACACACTTAATAAACATTTACTATGCAAAATCAGTTTGTCAGAGCAACCTCTCTCATACAGAAACTGAAACAGGTGAACTTATTCAGCAAACTCAAATCCTTAGAGCAATCAAAACAAAAAACTTATCACGTTTAAGAAAAATCAGAACTTATTTAATATAAATTAAAATATAAGTTAACTATTATGATAATATGTTGCACATAAACTGCAGAATAATAAACACAAAAATCATGATGTGTAAATATTTAAAGGTGTGGTTTACTAGTTTATTCAATACATTTGTAGTGTTCTCTAGTGTAAATCAATGCCATATGAGTCATTAAGAAAAAAAAGCTATGATGCTCCTGATCTGAGATGCAGAAGTTTGCTGGTGCAGAGGTGAGCTGAAAACAGCTGGATTCATGCCGCAAACACACTCTATGCTCTCTCCTCATTAAAAACATTTTTTTAAAAGCCTTCCTGTGGGCAGGCAGGAGCCAAGATGTGCGAGGCCATGAATGCAAATTCACAGTGTGACATCACAGTGTGAAGATTATCAAATCCTAGAGTTTCACTGTCAATTTTTTTTATCAGAAGTTAACATAGGAGATAGATGTAGGAGACTATTTTCATGTTCAGCCTGCATGAAAAACTCAGACTGACCAAATATAATAAAAGATAATAATTTAAAAAAGTTTTTTTCAGTGAACCATACCTTTAACTCCAGAGCTCGTTTTTATGAATTTTTGATATTTTTGGAGTAAATGGTTTCTGCAAACAGACGTGTTTCTAAGACATTCATTCATATTCTGCTAAAAATATAACTCGATTTTTATTTTAAAACATTGCAAACATCAGACTATTGTGCAAAATACTGTGCATAGAAATTCAGTTATGTAGAGTTATGCAGTCATTTTTAATGTGGCTGACCCTGCAACAAACTAAAAAAGCTTATTTGCTTTTCCGTCAGGTTCATCTTAAAGGAGAACATTTGTTTGTTTCCTTTAACTAAAGAAGAACAGAATCACTGAGTAAAAGCATCCAAAAGGTTAGTATTCTGAGATTTTTCCAACCTATAAAAGATTATGTCAATAGTAGATCTCACAGGTCTCACAGAAGCATATGGCCATCAGTAGTATCAATCACAGCTTTAGAATAGTTAGAATTAATTTCTCTTTTTATTTCTCAAGTTACATTTTAGAAAAATCCATTTACAAAAGAAAATGGATTACAAGAGTCAAAATTCACAGATGAAATGGGAATTTTTTTTTTTTGCTATTTTGGAGATAATTTCCAAAAGAGTGTGATAAGGAATTCAGACATTGAGATTCACCTCAATAAAACCATCATGATGGCAGAACAGTATCAATCTGAGAAAATGCTTTCTGCAGCAGATGAGAAACAATTAAAGCAGGAAAAAATCCTGCATGAAAACATTTAGTAGAGGGTGGAAAATTCTGAATGTTCTGGTGTACGCAGAGTACAGACCTGAACACGACAGAGCACAAGCTACCTTTAACCTGGCCGAGCACGAAGGTTTGTGCAGGGAGAACTCGGGAGGAGCTCCTAAAATAACGACAAAAATAAAACCAAAACACTTGAAGTGAAGGAAGTATCTATTTGTAATCTATTTATATATTTTTGGAAGAAAATGTCAAAATCAGCTTTTATATTTCATAAATGAAATGCAACATCACACATCTTTGGTGTAATTTTAGAATGAGCTATTTCTGACACTTTTTTTACAGTTGAGGAAAAAATTAAAATGGCATCTTCTTCACATGTAAGATGTTAAATCCCAGGTGATGGGGGAATATTTCTGTGGTTGAACTTCATAGAAGCTGTTATCATCAAACTTGCCAGGCTTCAAACAGAAAAGGAGGCTGTTGGTGCACTAACTCTTCCTTCTCTTCCTCACGATTGTGCTGAATCATTTCCAAACTTTGTTCCAGAAGGATTTTTCTTTTGCTGTTGCCATAATTAATCCTTTTATTTTAATGATGCACTTAGCAGCTCTGAAAATAATGAGCACCCCTTTAAACTGCACTAAAACTTTGACATAAATCAGATTTCATTTCTTGCAGCAGGTTTCATGTTGGGTGGACTGAAACCAGTAGGTGGTTCAGTCAATCATAAAATTAATAACCTGCCATTTTCTCATGAACACACACATACATGTCTCTGTATCCTTGTGTGGACCCTCCACTGACTTTCATTCATGTTTGGGACTCCAGTTAGCCTAAACCATACCCATATCCTAACCAATGCTGTTCTAACCCTAATCTAAACCAAAAGTTTAAAAACACACATAAGGGTGTTCTGTCTGGACCAGCCAAATGTCCCCACAAGGTGGAAATGTCCACGCACTACGGGTTAAAATGTAAAATTTGTCCATTTAAGCATATAAAGACGAGTAGACACACACACACACACACACACACACACACACACACACACACACACACACACACACACACACACACACTTCATTGCATGACTCATAAGATGAAGCAGAATGCAATGGTCTAATGAAACAGCAATCTTAAAATTTGAATCTGCATGTGAGATTCTGTGTGTGTGTGTGTGTGTGTGTGTGTGTGTGTGTGTGTGTGTGTGTGTGTGTGTGTGTGTGTGTGAGAGAGAGACAGCTGAGGTCTGAGATGGGAGAAAGACAACAGTTTGGTCCAGATTTTTTCCCACAGAAAGAGAGGGGCGAACACCCTCAGCAGGCTCCAACATGCCCAAATGCCACTTGTTTATTTTCCTGAGTCAAAATTAAAAACTTTTCCTAACTGTTCTTCTAATCCTAGAGAACCGGGAACGAGCAGAAGTAAAACAGGACTGAGTTTCTTTGAGATGTTCCTATTTATGGTGTAAAATCAATTCTGGCTCCAGAGTGTAATCGAACCCCATAAGAGGAATTAGAATTTAATCACAGACCAGGATGAATTTGCACCCATGTTTGCAAATCTTTCTCACTTTATAGATTGTTAAATGTTAAATGTGTTAATTACTGCAGTTTTTGTACAGAGTATTAATAAATAGACATTAAAACTTGTTTAAAACTTCCCGAATCAAATACAAAGGACAGCTTTACAGAAAAATTTGACAGCCTCAAATCAATGTAATCGGTGTCAGAAAAACCTAAAATGCAGTGTTTGTTGACAGGCTATGAGGAGATGTGTTTATTCAGCAAAAGCTCTTCATGCATAAAATTAACACACTTTTAATAAAGCACTACAACCCTACAGTTTGATTTATAAAAGTCAACGTACAGCCAGCAGGTATTTTACTCAAAAGGGGGGAACATAGACATGTTTTGTTGTTTAATGCCTTTAAACATTCAATTTTATGAGTTTGAGTAAAATTAATATTTTTGTTTCATACAGTATTGGAAATCTTTCTCCTATTCAAATAATTATTCTGCTATTTAGAACACCTTGCAAAATTGAAATGATCCAAAAGATGATCTATGTATTATTTTTTCAAACAAGACAAAGAAAACAAGTTCATGCTCATGTGTTTAAACAACAAAATGATGTGATGATTCAGAAATCCATATTTGTTGTAAATATTCTGGTTTATAGTTTTTATGAGTCATCCTGAGTGACCTTAAGCCACTTGGAGCAAAAAGTTTAATCACCTCGTGGACCATCCTCTTGATCACAGAGATGTGACTCCAAATTTTTTCTAAGTTAACTGAGACTGGCTCCTGGTCATAAAGTAGCAGTGCAACATCACCCGAACCCTTCACTGCAGAGGGACGCAGAGCCCCAAACTCTGCGTCACAGCAGGAACCCGTCAGATCTCTGATCAGAAGTGACCCTCAGCATGAGACCAGCACCAGACAGACACCCACCTTTCTGCTGCTTGAAGGACTGTATGGATCCCGAGTGGTGCACCATGGCGGCGTTCAGCTGCTCCCAGGCGCGTTTTAATCAAACTCCGTGTTTTGAAAAGCAAAACTGCGGAATACATGGGACACTGGGGAGGGCTGGCGCTAAGTGGGCTCCCATGCTGCCTGACGCTCTCGCGGGCGATGCGCAAACCCCAGCAACACCTGTCTCCGCTACGCATGCACCTCTCTCCCCCTCCCAACCTCCTCTTCATCCTCCTCTTCCAACTATCACGACTGTAGTCATGGAGACGGAGGATAGGGGAGGTCCTGAGATGGACACGTCCTCCTCCGTCCTGATTTACTGACTTTCAGATGAGCTGCGGGAAATTATCGGGGCAGCGCGTCTCAGGCGGGGCAACAAGCTCGGGCATGATTAGACTCGATCACAGTGGCACGTGCCTTTATTGCATAACCGGATTAAAATAGGCGATGATTAAAAAATTACAACGAGATTACATCTTGTCAGGCTTAAGATTTCCTTTTTACTCTACACTGGAACTGCTGCAGGTATTTAATACCGTGAAGCTGTGAGGAAAACTCCATCCAAACGATCAATAACTCAGAGCTCAGCTGCTGACACGCTGCTGCTGTCCAGCAGGGCACCCCTTGTTTGATGGCAAACAGTGTTTCAGTCATGAGAAAAGCAGCTGAGCTGCAGCTTTGGTTTCCACTGATGGATGGATATATCTGAAAGCTCACTTATCAGGTCCGTTTTCAGCACATTTCTGTATTTTAAGGCCAAATATGAACTTTTATTTGGTTTTCCCTGTTTTGTTCATCTCAGCATAATTAGATTTATGACTCTTCCACCTGCTAATCACCATTATTACTGCTTATATTTTGATATTTAATGTTTTAATATTGGGAAAATAAAAAAACGAGATAAATTTTTTGACAAACCATCGATTAAATTGCACAATTCCATGAAGTCCCTGATTTTCTGCAGACCCTGTTGTGCTTATTCTATTTTAAGTTGACCCCATAATCAGTTCAGCTTTGCCGTTTCATCTGTGGTTTTTATCAATCTTTATCCGCAAGAATATAAGGAGAACTAGTCTGGCATCTGTCATAGATACAAATACCATCTGCCTTCCTGGTGCACAGCAGCCCCCTACCCCTCCCGCTGTCCTGAGGTTTACTGAGGACTGGTATGAGAGCTGGCAAGCCCCAATAAAATATCAGTCAACAACCAAGAAAATGCATTTAGATGCTCCACTGGGGAGCCTAATAATAAAAATACAGCTCTTCCTCAGCAGGGTTAGCTCCAATGGAAACAGTGCCGTTTCCCTTCATAGCTGTTAGATGGGTGATGTAGGTCAGATGACAGCACTGCAAAGGATGGAAGGTTTTAGACTGATTAAATACTGCCACCTTGTGGAGGAAAACACTGACTGAGACTCATGGTTCACCCAAACACTGATGCAGCCTGCAACTGAGTTACTTTTCAAAGATTCACATATTTTTGCTCCAAGTAAAAAGGAGAACATCATCTGTATATAAAATGTCTGGTCAAATAGTTTCCATCTTTGTGGTCCTAAAGGGATGACCATGGTCTGCAGCAATACTCAGATGTGCTGTGGTGTTTAAACCAGCCTCGGGTAGTACTAAGCAGTTCCAAGTGGGACAAAAATACCCCCACCACCATTACACCAGCAGCACCAGCCTGATGCTTTATTGTTCTGCAGACCTTGGTTGGAACCAGCAGTTATTTGAGCCATCATCTAGAACCAGTCTGACCATTCTCCTCTGACCTCTGACACCATTTTCATCCACATACCTGCTGCTCATATGTTCTATTTTGGACCATTCTCTGTAAATTATGGAGATGGTTGTGGGTGAAAGTCCTAGTATCAGATGTTTCTGAAATCCTGAAACCAGACCATCTGTCACCAACAACCATGCCAGTCCTCCGAGCCCCCAACCTTCATCACTCTGATGCTGAAATTAAACAAGACATCTTTGCCAAGTCTAGAGACCCAATTGCATTCAGTTGCTGACATGTTCGGGCAGATTTGTATTAGCAAGCAACAGAACGTGTACCCAATTAAGTGGCCAGTAAGTGTACATCCTGCAGATTAAAAAGGGGAGGAGCTTAGACTGTAGAACTTGTAGTAATCTTTGAAAAAGACTCCAAAGAACCGCAGACAAACTCACTGGACTGCTGGTCGGTTTCCGTCTCTGGACTTCCAGAGCTGGAACCGTCTCCCAGGGAGGAGCTCCATGACGCAGAGCGGCTGATGGTGGGATTGTAAGGAGTGGTCTGCTTGTTAGCTCCAAAAGAGCTGGAAGCCTGACTCTCCAGCAGAGGGAGGAACATATAGTTTTCCAGATGACATAATTCTGTAAAAAACACAAAAACATCAGAGTGATTAAAGATCTTTTGTGTTTTTCTTCACTGGTAGATGTTAAAACTGGGAGGATTAGCAGCTGATCACAGCAGTGGGGTTCCCAGCTCCCTCTCACATTACTACACTCATACATCTTTTACATGACTTTGTTCTTCCTTGATACTTGACACTAATGGTAGATAATAAAACCTCAGGGGTTTTGTGTAACACTCCCTCTCTGCTACGTGTTACATTCATCTGTAAAATGCTTATGTTTTAAAAAGTAGAACAAACTGAGTTATTGTCTGCACCATGACCTCGTCCTTGATCTGGTTCATTAACTCTATCATGGGCAGATGCAGCTTCCACAATCTTTAAAGTGAATTTTAAAGTTTGAATTGCAAAAAACATTCCTTCATCTCTGTTTTAGATTATTATGAGCTGGAGAGGTGTGGGGCTATTTTAGGATTTTGGTTTTAAATGTTTATTATTATTTTTTTAAGCTAAAAAAACTGTAATATATATGCAGAAATTTTTATGCCGCTGGAATATTTTTAAGGGCTGTTCATATTAGCCAGAACTGCAAGTGTTTTTATTAATGCACGAAGAGCATTTCATTTATAGTGATTCTAAGATTTAGAATCAAAATCTTTCATTTTCTCATTTTTAACTTGAATTTGTAATCATCGTTCATTTGTTTTATGGCATTTTATAATTTTATGACTTAATTTTTCTGATTGTAATTTATTTCTGTTTTAAGATCATTATGACTTTATGACTATGATTTGTATTGTTTTGTTTTGATCTATGTGAAGCACTTTGTGATTTCTCGGTCTGATGAGTGCTACAAAAATAAAAATCAACTTACTTACTATTTAAAAACAAAGAAAAAAGGCAACAAAGCTTCTTTTGGTGAGAGGTGAATAACAGTTTTTTAAAAAGAAACCTTAGAATAAATTAATACATTTTCCATTTTAACTATTATTGCTTAGCGACCTCCCCATCCTATTTTTTTATTCTTATTTGGGAGCATGTGAAATAGTTTAAATGACATTTAAAGTAAAACAAACTTGACTTTTCTCCACAACAAACAAACAAACTAAAAGCTAACAAAAATATTTTACTGATGAGCTTTTACTTTGGTTGCAAGAAATATTCTGGTTCACTAGTGATAACAACTATGTTAATTGCACGACTATATTGACTAATTACACATTATAAATATTTTAAAATGTTTAAACTTTAATCAAACGTGTTTTTTTGTAATACCAATAAATAAATAAATAAATGTTTCTAAGCCATAAATTGTACATTTCCACATGCATTTTTTTTCTTAAATGTGAATAAAAATCCCGGTTGCTGTCAAAATCAAAATCCAAACTAAACACAGAATCACAACATCTCCTTTCAGCATCTTTAATGGAGTCTTAAATGGGGAAAACACTTGGTAGTAAAAGCATAAATAACTGAAAAGCAATAGTTTGTGTTCAACTTTTTTTATGTCTGCCAACGTGTTCATCTGACATGGTCTGACCATCAGAGAAACTTCAGCTCGTCTGAGTCTGGAGCAGGAGTCCATTAAAGCTGTGGAGCCAAGTGCAACACTGATTATATCAAAACTAGTGAGACGAGACGGTCGATTGATGAGCAGGTAATTCCTGCATGAACTTCCTGCTACACTGATTATTTATTTAAACATGCATCTCACCAGGCCACAGTGTTTGTTCCACGTATAGCAATAAAACCGTTACTCCATAAAACAAAAAACTATGACTTGTCAGAGTCATCAGTTTCAGCAAATGAGTGAACAAATGTTAGCATCCAGCTATGGAAAATGCATGTAAATTCAATTAAAAAAATGGCAAAAGTGTTTATCAGCAATAATACATGTAGCTAACAGGGTTTAGGGCATTTAAACGGCAGTGTTTCCATTACACGATGGGTACTTTGAGCTAGTGTGTTCTCTTTATGGAGCTTAAACAGCCTGCATTAGTCAGTATAGGTCACTTAAGACCACATAAGGGTTCCTATAGACTCATAACACTGGTGTTTAATGCAGAAGAAGTAATGAGCTGCTTACAGATGAGAGGGTCTGTGAACAATATTGGTGACCAAGGCTATAAAAAAACGTCAAAGTCAAAAAAGACAAAAAGAATAATTAAACATGCCATTAGAAATAGCTTCAAAAGCACTTGGTTCATCTGAGTCTCACTTAATAAATCCAGGAAGGTTTAAAGTGAAATATAGACAAATTTATTTGATTATTTATTTATTTATTGATGGCTGAATGAAGAACTAAACCGTTTGGGATAAATCTACATTCTGTACGGGGTATTTATAGTTTATAGATAAGCACATATCAGAAGTTATTACTATTTCCATCCTGAAACGGGTCATTTAAAGCCAATAGAAGGCTCAGCATGTCTGTATCAGCTACATTAGTCATATATAATACATTTTAATTATTTTCTAAATAAATCTTTTCTAAAAGAACTGTTGTGTGCTGTTCATGAAAACCCAATTCATCCATTCATTCAACTACAATCATCATTAATCAATCAGATCTAAAAGATCAGTTTACATCAAGCTGATTAATAGTCTTGTGTGTGCATTTATCATCTGCTCCCTTGTGTTGCATGCTGCCGCAGTACTTAGCTAACTTTTCCATCCTGACAGACCGAACTCTAAGTAGTTGATTTAGTAGATGGGCAGTAAAACCTTTTCTTAACCATTAGAGAAATAAGAAATATACAAACCAATATTCTGCATAAAGTCAAAACAATAAATTTGATAAATCAAAACCCTTCTTCATAGCTGTGAACAACCAGAAACAGTCACACAACGTGTTTTAAGTCATTTTAACTGCAGTATTCAGCTTGCTGTGGCTCATCTCCCAGTCAGCCTTCTATCAGAGTTGAGATAAACTTACCTGAAGAGGTGCCAACAGCATGTGACATCATGCGTTCCATTGCATCTACTCAGAACTCCAGCATTTATACCTCCGTTTAATAGATTTTTTGAGCAATAACTTGTTCTGTAGCTTTAGATTGTCCAGTTTCATGAACCTGTCATCCCCACAGTGCAGCTCTTGGAGCTGTGAGACAACCCTGGCTCTGCAGCTAAGATGAATAGGTGGAGTTTGAAATGTTGACAGTCAAAGAGGGGTACAACATTAAACTCTTAGACTATTGATCGAACTGTATTGATTGGACAGAACTGCTGCTGTGTGGAGTATCCCTAACAGGGTTGCTCCTTTTTGTATGTTGCTGACAATTATCTGTAACACAGGAGGAAAGCCTCCATTTTCTTAAAGGTATACATCCATTATCATGTATGACACCTTTAGCATAGTGTTAACATTTATGATTTTTATCAAATGATTTAAAAACGTCTTTTTTCCCCTCGAATCTAGTTCACTTCTGACATTTCTGAAATACTTCTTTAGTGACCATTTTCTGATCCAACCATGAGTGAGGTGTTTTAATCAGTCATCAGAGAATGAGTGAAGGAAGTTAGAGTCCTATTATTACCATGGTGATTATGTGACTCCTGTTGGTGGTGGCAAGCCACTGCATCACATAATAGTTAGAAAATACCTGCAAAGTGGATTTTCAGGTTCTTTAAAGTTGAAAAAGAAAAAAAAAATCCTCCATCCAGAATGTCTTATGTTCAACTCACAGTCAACTTTTCAGATTGTTCAAAATATATTTATTTTTTGCTTAAATTACACTATTTTTGCCATTCACAATTTTGGTTTTCTACCCCAAATGTCCAAAGAGATGCGTGATTATCTACATGGAATATTTTGGAATCCCGCAATGAAAAAAAAGTTATATATTTTGTTTAATTTGCTACTTTTTAATAAAGCTTGATCCTGTGCAGGGTTACAAGGAGCACCTAGGAACAATTTAGAACTGATTTTCATATTTTTGGAAGGAAATCTATTCATGCACAAAGAGAACATGCCTACATGAAAAATACTTGAATCACAATCAGTGTGTGACAAGGTCCTGTCCCAATTGGAGGAGTTTAAGTCTCTCGGGGTCTAGTTCACGAGTGAGAGAAAGGTGTAGCTCGAGATTGATAGACAGACTGGTGCTGCATCTGCAGTGATACAGGAGTTGTACCGATTTGTTGTGGTGAAGAGAGAGCTGAGTTGGAAGGCAAAGCTCTCGATTTATCGGTCAATGTATGTTCCAACCTTCCCCTATGGTCACGAGCTTTGGGTAGTGAGTAGATCTGCTGCTCCTCCACATTGAGAGGAACCAGTTGAGGTGGCTCCAGTATCTGGTCAGGATGCCTCCCTGGTGAGGTTTTGAGGGCATGTCTAACCGGGAGGAGACCCAAGGGAAGACCCAGCACATGTTGGAGGGACTATCTCGGCTGGCCAGGGAATGCCTTGGGATTCTCCAGGAAGAGCTGGCCCAAGTGGCTGGGGAGAGGGATGTCTAGGCCACTCTGCTGAGGCTGCTGCCCCCGTGACCCTTCTCTGGATAGGTGGATGATAATGGATGGATGGATCTATTAGAAACTTAACGATTTCAAGAAAAAATAAATAAAGGCATTTTACGACAAAACAAGCCGGAATGCAAGTTGGTCCTAATATTTTTTCAGATATCCATCATTTTTATACTAATAAGGAAAATTATACTTTGCAGACACTTATCGTCAATAGACCAATGAAGTTATTGGAACATGTGAGTTATTGTGTACTGTGAAATTTTTAATTTTTAATAACTGAGATGTTCATTGAAGACAAAAATACCCCACTTGAAATCATTTTTGACTGGGTAGATTTGTGTTGTGAATCTGTACACTATATGTCCACTTTAACCATCAAATGAAAGGGCCACACTCTTTAAATTAAAAAGCTTTCAGTTTTTATTAGTTGAACTACAACTGTTACTCATGCTGTTTGTTTTAATAAGAATTATGATTAAAATTTCATTTTTACTAGATCAAATGTGTGGGTGGATTATATATAACAACGTCATATTTATGTCGATGGGGTCCCCACCCCTTGATTTCTGGTACGTTCAAGTAACTAGTACCAGTCAAAGTACTGTTTCAAAGTTCTGCTTAATACTACTCAAAAATATACAAACCTGCTTAAATATATATGACACCACCTACGAAAACAATCCCCTTTAACGCTGTGGCCATTTTTAATCAGACGGTTGACATTTGGTGACTTAAAAAAATATTGTCTAGGAGCGTGAGAAGTAAACATCGTTCGTGAACGCAACAGCGTTGTACATAACGGGAGATTAATCAACACACCAAAACAAACGCAGATAAATATTATTCGGCTGTGGGTGTCTGAAATTTGTTCCTCCCAATGCCGCGACGGCTAAATAAGAGGTCTGAGGAAAAATAATTATGTGCCTTTTAGAAGTAGCTTGGCTTGCTATTGTAGCTTAAACCAGCTAATACGATGCTCACATTCATTCGGCTAATAGGCGCTAGCCAGCTAAGCTAGCGGCGGTCAGTGGAGTAGAACCTGCTGCCTATTTTGCCTTATTTTTTATCAAAACATTTAAAAACTAGCTTTTCATAATAGGTAGCTAGCGAAAATAAACTGGAAGGTTGACAACTATTTTTACGTCGCCTCTTTACTGCCTGGAACTCCAGAATGGGAATGTGCTTACCGTGCCTTGGTGGAGCAGCGGATGACGTTGTTGTCACCCCAGATCCTGTAAGTACATTTACCACAATTTTTCTTTCTAGATAGGACACAGCAAGTCGTGTTTATTCAAGAATAATGTCTACAAAGTAATAAAACATTAACTAATTAGTCGTATCATAATTTCTGACACACCCTTTGACGACTTTTAACGATTTCAGGCCTTATGGTTTTAAACACAACAAACAGCTGTTCGTATAGTCATAGTTTGCATGTTTGTCCTATAAACAGGAGACAAGAAGACAGCAACTGGCGGAAGCAGCTGAGAAGAGACAAAAAGAGGTATTGACATCTAGTTAAGAGTCTTATTTTCACCATCGCTGCGATATTATTTGCTTTTTCATGCTTAACACGAGGTTTCCAGCAGATTTCACACCCTGAAAAGTTTTCTCACACACGCTTTATGTAATTTATACCACTATTTGTACTTGATTTTAATGTTTTTCTTTTGAAAACCACATGATCTTTGTTTTTCTCAGTTTGTTTATGTCAAACCATTGTTTTAGTATTTATTTAAAAGCAGTGATTTCATTTGAAAGTTGTTTTTAACTATCAGTGTAGCAAAGTGTTTTTGTCATTAGCAAAATATATCATTTTCAGTGTACGGTAAAGACTAATTTGAAAACAAATCTGGACCTAGCACCTACACCTGAGGAACTCCACAATATGTGTCCATACATGTTGATTTGTTGTCACCCATTTATAAAAACTGCTTCCTAGTGGTTCATCACCCCATTCAGCCCCAAATTCTCAGATGTCATTTGCCAGCTTTGAGTAATCGTTATCAATCAGTTGCTTCAGAAGCATTACTTTAGATCTGAAAATATTCCTGTTGCTGTCGCTGAGCAGTTATTTTTCTCAGTTAAGTCTTGTTTGTAGAGAGTTTTTACTATACAGTTTTCTCCAACCCCCCTCCCATAGAAAATTTTAGATGTTTATACACCAAAACACAACTAATATGAACAATCAAACACCTTATGAGCTAATGGGGTGTGTCCTGGAGGTTCACCTCCTAGATATTTACCAGGGCATCACTGAACTCCTGGACAGTCTGAGGTCTAAACATGATGCCCCAGAGATGTTTTAATGGATTTACATCAGGATCTGTGGCCACCAGTTAGTGGTACCAATTCCTTCATCCTCCAGGAAGTGCATGCAAACTCATGTTACATGAGTCTGGTTATTATAATACACCTGGGGGGGAGCTTAGGACCCACCACAGCAGCAGAGGGTCCAACAGTTGGTCAATGGATTTTACCCCAATACATAATAGCAGGGTGTCATCTGTCCAGTACATGTCTATGTCCCCTCTATGGCACTTTCTAACTAAAACCGTCTCGCCACTAAACCGACTGTGTTGAACAGCGTCTCAGGCAGCATACACTTTAACCACAGGTTCCCTAGACTTTTTCACATTGTTACATGAACTCAGAGTAAACCTGCACTTATCTATGAGAATGTCAGGGTGACAGTGCCAGAATTGCCAGGTGAGCTCCACAGTGCCAATCAGTGAATATAGCGCATACTAGTGGACATCAGGCTCTCAGGAAGTCTGACATTCATGCCCTATTTCAGGTCCTTTTGTAGGTCACTAGCAGCCCTCATCCTCTTCCTCCTTGCATAAAAGAGCAAAGACTGGTGTTGTGCCAAAAAAAGCATGCCTGCTGAGATTTACAAACGAAGGAGCAGAAAAAAATCTTAACACAGACTTGTCTCAAACATATGACAATAAAACGTGTCAAAAACCATCATTTGTTTCATTTATCTGCCCAAAAGCCATCATTTTGTAACACACACATATAAGTAATTTCATTTATTTAAATGTAGCCTCGTTACTTGTATTTCTGAACGTGAAGTTCCTTAACACGGCGCTGTATTAAGTTATGCAAGTTCTCTTGACCAGGCATGCAAATCTCTTCAGGCATACACTTTGCTGCACAACACCAGTTCTGCCAATAGGTTAAGGACCTTTGACGGCCCTGTGCAGCTCTCCTAGAGTGACTTCCATTTCCCGGAGTCTCCTCCATGCTCTTGAAACAGGACAGCCCACACAGCTTCTGTCGGGCCCAGGTATTGCCTCATGCTAATAGTGGCCTCCACCTGCAAGATCACTTCCTTTTTATGGGGGTTGTTTATCACAGAAACGGCCAATGCTGGTTACCAACCCTTCTGTTACTTTAGTGAGCAAATCAGTATCCCAGAAGTTAAAATGACTTGAGATTGAAGATTAAAATCCCATAGCTGTCACACACACTGGTGTGGTGAAAATTGTCCTCCGCATTTGACCCATTCCCATTGAGAGTAGTGAGCTGCAGACACGGCCGCACTCGGGAACTTGGTGGTTTATCCCCCCGATCCAACCCCTTAGGGTTTTAGTCTACTTGAGCTGGTAGACTAAAAACTAGACAGGACTAGAATGTAATCCCTTAATGTTTTTGAACATTGTACTTCTATAGGTGTTTTGCATTGATTCACAATATCAAATAATTTTAAACAATTGCCATCTTCATACATATTTGAACGTTGCATAACCTGCATTTCAGTTAGAATTACTTTAGTAAGCAACTCTTTTACTATGCAGAGAAGCCACTGGCAAACCAATACGAGTCGTGCTAGAGTTGTGTCCAGGTAAGTAGACTTAGACAACAACAAATGCCTCCTTCTGGGCTTTGTTATTATTTAAATTCCCACAAGTTTCTTTTCCAAGTCACCGTTTTTGTTTTATGTAACTTCACTGTTATCCAGCTGTAGGTAGAAGCACCGAGCCCTAACACACATTCACATCACTACTAAAAGGATCAGATCTGGCTGCTGAATGCTCTCTTTTATTTGATAGTTGGATCCTTTCCTGATAGCTATGATTGTGTCTTGTGCATTCTGAAAGGTTGTGTTATTAATGAACTTAAACTGCTCTTGTAAAAAATAAACTAAAAGCATGTGTCTGTACAGTTTTCTGAACAAATGACGAGGTAATAAACCCGTGATTAAGCTGTTTTGTGTATGTGCTGATTTTCAGACGGCGTACAGGGGAGTCAAAAATCCCGAAGCAGTTGAAAGGAAAAGGAAGAAACAAGAAGAAAGTGAGAAACAGGAGATGACCGCCTCTGTGTCTGGTGGTGGAGGATTAAAGGTCGGTGTGGTGCTTATCTTAAAATGAATTACATACAGTCGCTCAGAAATGTTATCATAATAAGAGATATATCTTGTAGTTAGTATAAAACGACTATTTTGCACTTTAAACCCAATAGAAGAGATAATCTGCACAAGGTATTTAACATTAACTATAAGTACAGGAGAAATGGATATGACAGTAGAGTAGATGTTTGAGCCCAGGCTATCAAAGACTAAAACCTACTTTATACTTCTCCTTGTGCGTCGGTACGGAGACACCCATTATGCGTTGGCGCAAAGGGTGACGGAGACATGCCCAACAGTTTAACTATCTGTCGAAAGAGACGGAGACAGCAAGCTTGTGATTGGTCGCGACGCCACTTCCTTTAAATTAATCACCACCATTGCCCCTCAAAAAAGATGTTTAGTGGCAGACTCGGAAAAGATTGAAGGACGCCTCACAGAAAAAGTCTGAAATTATGAACGTTTATCTGCCCGTGACTGAAGGGTTACAAAGATACAGCGCAAGTGTTTAGTTCCTGGATGGAAATGATGAGAAACGTGGGTTTAGAGGTACTGATTGCATGAAGGTGTAGAGGAGAAAGAGGGACAAATTTGTCCATGTTAAAAAAAAGTCTCTAAGATACAATAAAACAATGTAAACACAATAGTAAACACATCATGGTGGACCGGATACGTGACTGTAATAGTGGCAGGATACTTCAGAATAGCGCTGTGCCCTCTGTTGTGCTGGCGGGGAATTGCTTTGCAACATTCCTCAGGTGCCGGAGAAGTCTGGAAATAAAATGTCTCCATCGATGCGTGTGCGTCTCTCCTTTGCAGAGCTGACAGATAAGTATAAAGTAGACTAACCCCCGCCATCATTTTCTTGCAGTGGCAGGTTGGATGAAGACCCTGATGTCTCTTCTCTGATCTTCAAACAAACATGAAGTATTTCTACAGGACTACTGGGAAGACCTTGAAACTGCTGTCTAGTTAAATCCTTTTTTTTTTTTTTTTCTATTTTTGTTCTAAAACATTTGACAGTCATCAGACTGGACTGAAACACTTCAAGTTTCAGACAAATCACAGTTGTAGTTGCCAAACGCTAGTTTAGCCCTTTGGACGAGTCGGTGAAGACGCACTGATGTTGAGACAAACCTATTATTCTCTGGTATTAGTATTTATTTGATGCTTGATGAAGCACAGACTAAGAGATTATTTATGATGACAGAATGGTTCATTATGTTTTTGCTTTAATGATGAAGGAGTACTATGACCTGCAGCTCATAATGGCCACATAAGTTTAACTTGACCAGCATTCAAAATCTCAGTTTCCATCATTTTAACACTCGTTCATCTGTCGTAGATTTCAACTTTTGCTGCACTAAGACAATGAAAATGTAACTTTAGTCCCTCCCTCCTGCTTTTGTTGTCACAAGGGTGTGGTGATCAGTGCAGTTTTAATACAACAGATGAAAATCATTTGATGACGGATGTTAAAGTGGGCACGGTGTGGTTTAAAACCACGACAGTTTCTAACTCGGTTACTCTGTCAAGCACAGTTCCAGCTGCTACAACCTGCTCTAGATTTATAGAAGCCAACTCTGAAATGATCACATCACTGGTTCCCAGCGGTTTTACCTAAAAGCTAAATTAGGACACAATGAAGGACACATTATTCTACATCTATCCATTAAAGCAGTGGTGGGGAACCCGGGTCCCGGAGGACCACCATCCAGCATATTTTAGTTGTTTTCCTTCTCCAACACCACTGATTTAGTGGTTGAATCACCTGTTCAGCAGCTCATCAAGCTCTGCAGAAGCCTGTTTATCATCTGTTGATTAAAATCAGATGTGTTGAAGCAGGGAAACAACAAAAATATGCAGGAAAATGACCCTCAAGGCACCAGAATTCACCACCCCTGCATTCAAGGCTGTTTTCTTGTTTTTACATCCGTTATAGTGAACAATAAGATTGTCTTAACCCTCCCACTGTCCTAATGGGCGTGACCCCACGAGGAAAGTTGACCATTGAGCAGGATGGATGGTTTATCCCTTGAGGTCCACGTGGCAGGGGTGAGGTGGTGCTCACTCCTCACCCCTGCCACGTGGACCTAAGGGCTAAACCATCCATCCTGCTCAATGGTCAACTTTCCTCGTGGGATCACGCCCATTAGGACAGTGGGAGGGTTAAGGACTTTCCAGAAATGATATTAAGACTACACATCGGGGTCTCGACCCCAGGAACCACTGCTCTAGACGTAGCGTGGTCCAGACATGCCCTAATTTAAGTTGTGTGTTTCTTATCGCACTTTACAATCTCATTGCCTACTTGGTGGATTATTTCCCTGTTTGATGACATGAAACATGCTGTATTTAAAACTTTAATTTAAAAGAGGTTTAAATTTTAATATGTATGACTGTTAATATTTAGAAAAACGATAAACATTATCTCCTGCTCTTTTATGGTAAAAAAAAAAACTTATGAGCTTTGTTGAGGGAAACTGAATGAACTTTGACTGGCTTATGTGAGTGCATTCCTTGCAGCCTTCTCCTGACCCTTAAATGCTTCTGGTGCTCTTTTTGTTTTCTAACACAATATCTTGCCAATGTTTGCTACAATAAACAAATCACATTTCTGCTATTTGTGTGTAGATTCATTCTACTGCATGCTTTAGAGCCAAATACACGAATGCCTGTTATATTCATATTAAAATATTAATTATGGAGTAAATGAAAGGTATAAAAAGATTTAGCAAATTAGCAAGGTTTACTTTTTACACCTAAAAACGGGATATTTTTATCCTATACAAACTCCTGGGTTACAGGCAATGAACTGTATCACCTCTAGGGGGCAGCAACAACAAACTAAAAGTGGAAGTTCTATTGCGTTTTTTAATTACAGAAAAAATATATATTTTTTACTTGAATAATGAAAAATAAAATGACCAGAATATGAAACTGCAGTCGGCATCTAAGTGATGAACTCTTCTTCATACATTATTAAGAAAAAGATGGAATAATCACAGATTTTATGCTCATTTTTACTTTTTTTTAATAAAACAACTTTCAAACCAGCATCATGTAAAGTTTGATTATTAGCTTGTTACTAAAATTAGCAAAGACAAAAACTAGCCATCTAACCATGTTATAAATGCTTTATTGCTTTAACAATAATTGACTTAAAATGAAATCTGGAACATTTTAAACTTCCCTTGAACCCATTTACTCTACATTTTAAAGCAGTTTCTAAAATTGTTAGATTCTTTATTAAAGAGAATAAAATAATAAGCATAAAATAAACAAAATACAACTCAATGTGAAAGAGGAATACAGCCCATTTGATCACATACACTTGACAACTTTTTTATTAATAGATGATTAAAATACTACAAGTGTGCTCTTGTTGCATGCTGCTGTCAATCGGTCCAAAATGTATAAAAAAAAGAATGTCCCAAACTTCTAACACAAAGTTATCCTCTGTCCTTTAAAAAAATGTCACTTCTCAGCGGCGTTTCTTCACTTCTTGTTGCGGTAGTGGGCCGCCACCACGAGGTAGCTGTCTGGGCTGAGGTCCTTGATGTTGGGGGACTTGGTGCTGATAGGGGATATCTTCCCCTCCACTCTGGAGATCTGGAGCATGCGGCAGGGGTCGTGTTTCAGCAGGTAGCTCTCAAAAGTCTCCCAGCCTCCCCCCACACGCACCATCACATGCTTGTTGTGCAGCATCTGCAGGTGAAAACAGATGACATGTCATGTGAGATGCTGGATTAATGTCACCCTAATTAGCACATTGAAATTTCTGCTATTTGTTCAAATTTGGTGCAAGCGTGTTGGCTTTTAGAGTGAGCTAAATGCCTAAATACACCTGTCTAAAAACACTTTATGGCCTCATTTGTCACCATAATTAATGAAACCAACACTGTCTCTAGAATCGTAAGAGAAAAATCCACTGCTGGGTTCAACACTGAAAGGATGGACACAAAAACAATTCAAATAGAATTATAATAATGTGTATCATGACAGCAGTACTGTAGCCATTCAGTAACAATAACTGCTGGGTTTAAGCTCCCTCTTACAGGTACATTTTAGACTTTATTGTAGAAATGTTACAAGTCCAAAAAGCCCCTCAAGGTCCAGAAAAAGGGCATAAAGACGAGGATGACATGGAAGAGAAAAGAGAGCAAAACCTCTGCCCAGTAATGTGCATTTAGTATTCTATGGTCCGGACAGTCTGAACAAAATGTTTCAGATGATGAGACACTTCCTCAAAACCTAGGATGAAGTTATCAGGAAATTTCAGATGTAGCTATAATCCATGAAGGTGGTGATGAAGCAGATCTGAGAAACGCCAGTAGGATTCAGTCTGAGGACAAGCGAGGACCATTCATGGGAGGGCTGTGATCACCTGGTGCAGCTCTGCTGCTAAAAATATTCAAGCTGTTTCATCTCTCAAAGCTAAAAGAAATTCATAAAAACAGTTTCGCCAGCCCAAACAAGTCATTTTTGCTTCAGAGTGATGACGCCTGCCACATAAGGCCATGCTCCCGGTTTGGCTGCCATGGCAACATCACCCATTATGGTAGAAAAGAAGAAATAATAAAATAATCTCAGTGCTATATTGGACGATCAAACACTTGCATTCCCAGGAGGCCGCACTCATAACATGTCTGCTTCACTGTGGAGGTTTACTGCTGCTTTCCCTCATTAACACATCATTACGTCTCAGCAGCAGAGGCTTGTTTACTGAACGCTTCTCTATAAAAACACGCTCTAACGGAGAAAGCTAATTGTCTTTAAAGGATCAGCTGTAATATTCTGACACAAGCTAAAGAACTTGGTTGGTTGTCACCTCAGTGTGGTTTGAAATGAGGTTTATTGTCACCCAGGAGCAGAACATACAACATTTATAGCCTCTTATAAGAATCAGTCTATGGAGCAGCACTTCCAATCAGCAGCCCTTTGCCTGGAGCCGTGTTACTGTGGCTTTAATGGACCTGTGTGATGGAGAGGGGTTTCAATCACGCTGCTTTGGGACAAGACCCTTGTTTGAGCCGAGTCTGCTCAGGAGCCCGCGAGAGTGCAGAGGCCCCGGGGCTGAGCTGTGGCAGCACTTATCACAAACACTGTGATGATGTTGCTCTGCACTCTCATGTTCAAACTACAAGCAGCTCATTTATTCCAGAAGGTCAGGCTTACTGATGAGCAGACAGGTTCCTGTGAAGTGAGACTCTCAAAGGTCTGATGGAGGTCGCTGCTTTCCTCCCACAGCTTCCTGCACACACCGATGACAACCTGATGGTTTTCGTGTCTCCGACGAAGAAGCTGCTGCTGGTGAGGCAACCAAGTCATGAATTTTAATTAAATCGTCACCATGAAGATTTCTGGCTGTTGTTTGAGCTGTGTTTAATCATTAATATTTCTGATAATTGTCACGTATTTAATGTTTTTCGTGAAAGAGTTTAATTTGTTGCTTCTTCTGCCTTTAAAAAATTTTTTTTAGGAAAAGATGACAAATTGAAGCTATTTGAAGATCACATGATGTTCATGATGAAGATAAAACTAGAATGGACTGTTGAGCTTTAAGCCTCTCACCTTTTGTTGCTCAGCATCACAAAGATGACTGATGTCTGAATTGTGGCATCCGTGATTTACATTTGCAGTGTCCATGTTCGACCAAAATCATCTTTGTCCTCGTTGGATCTGAGCCCAGCACTGGTTCAGATCAGCTCTGATTCAACACTAGATGGAACAAAACTAGCCGACAGCAGGGGGCATCCGAGAATGAACTCCCTGTTCTGCAGCCTGTAGAGCTCCAACATACCACCAGCATGAATCACATTCCTGGAGGTGTGAATCCTGGTAGTGGGGTTGCCAAGTAACCAGTTTCCCAAGGAGACCGATCCCACTCCTCCAATCTGATGGCGTCCATTTGTCTTTCTCAAGCCCCATCAGAGCCGAGGAGATTCATTATTACCAGATTAAATTGATTCTAGTTTTGTGGGAAGGTGGAGTTTGATAATCAGATCACAAACAAAGAGAGAGCCATGTAGTGTTCAGATACATTATTCTAACATTACCTCTTTCAACAAGCACAGAAACACTCTTCACGCGCAATTAATGACTTTTAAACCAAAACATCATGTGGATTAAAAAGTTGTTTCCTCTAAAATTTAACGTAACATTTTTTTAGATAATTTCAGATCTAGAATCTGCTTAGATCAGTAAAACATAATTTTGTGAAAAGATTTACTGAACTCTGTGAAATTCCAGGATGTTAAGGTCAAGTCCAGAAACCACCACTGGATGCACATGACCTTCGACCCCTCAGGCTACACTGCAAGAGAGACAGTTGTTTCTAGTAAAGCCACATGAGCTGAACACATTATGGGTAGAAATGTAACTTCAACCGTATCACTCACTATGGAGGCCACTGATCACATTCTGTGTTTAGGAGTTTATCTCAGATGAACTGAGAAACACTAGATGTGCTGCACGAGTCTGTGTTTCAGCTAGTTTTATGAAGCTCTGAGACAAGGAAGATCATCAAAACTGCAGTTAAGTGAAAAACGGGAAAATTTGCATTCAAGTTTCAACACATCAAATTTGTAATGCACGTGTGTACGTTGAGATTTCTAAAGAGAGATTCAGTAACACTGAGCCAACATCTAGAAAGGGAGGAGGTTAAAAGAGCACAAGTGCTAAGATGCACTGAATTTTGTGTTGAGGGCCAATACCAATTTCTGATTGTTGTACTGCTCTGACTCGCTGAGTCTTCACTGATTTCTCTTAAATAATCATAAACAACTTTTAAAAAATCTCTGGAAAGAAAACATGAAAAAATAAACATGTTTTCACTAGTGACAATTAATGCTTATTATTATTATTATTATTATTATTATTATTGCTTGGTCAAATCTGCTCAGCAGGCATTTTTTTATTCCAAGAAGAACCTCCAAATGGATCCTGTGATTCTGAACTCGCTTTAGCGACACACGTCTGCCTAAAAGCAAACATTTACTAATAAATTTAGGTAATAGTACAGTATATGTTGTGCACTAGCTTTTAAGCTAATGCCTTCATTATTTCAATTACAGTAAATAATAACAAAAAATTTCTCTCCTCTAACACACTCACCCTTATAAAGAGCATCTTCTCCCCGACTCGGTAGCGGCCCTGCGACTGTCTCTCTACGCAGAACTTGTTTGCACACTTGCAGGGAGGATCATCAGCGATGTGTCGTACCTGAGACCCATAAAACCAGAAATATTTCACATGTGTTCACCCTCAAATGCAGCAGTGAAGTTAGAGGTGCACGACTTTTTATTTACCGCATCATCCAGAAGCTTTCCTGTACTCTTTCTGCTCGGAGTCACTTTGGTTGGAGTTGAAGGCGGAGAAGGAGATGGAGAGGACGATGAAGAGGGAGGTGAAGGAAGGGGCTGAGCTGGAGGTCTTGGTGATGGAGAAGGAGGCAGAGGCATCTTCTCTTCTTGTTCAATCTCCTTCTCCAGTTTTATAAGTCCTGGAGGCTCTACGTTGTAACTAGACAAGAAAACGGAGTGGTAAAGAATTTAGAGATTGTTTACAAAATAAAACAAAGATGGGTTTATAAAAAGTCAGAACCAACCGTGAAGCTATCCGCCCCAGCTCTAAAAGACACAGACACACCTCTCTCGGCTGCTTATGAAGAACTAAAAGAAGAAATCAACATTTAGTCTCCCAAAATTACAATAAGTCCTGTATCAGAAACATGGTGGTGAGAGAAGATGAGGTGAAATGCAAATAAAACCAAGCTTCATGCATCCCAACGTCCCTCACTTCACTGCAAATGGCACAGAAATGAAACGTCTTCAAGCAACTCAAAGAAGTCCAGACGCTTTTCTTTCAAGCTCATTAGACTACAATGACCTGGATGACTGAGAACCTTCACAGACATATGGCACAGAAATGTGTTTTGACTCGAGAATGTGCAAACAGGTTTAAATGAGAGTGATGGAGGCCCTTTTTAGTTGTGTTTCTGCGTAAAAGTTGCTAATCCTACCAGTTTTAAACATGAGGATGCTTGTGGTGCTATCTACAACACGTAGGATACATTTTACACATTAAACACAACCCATTATGTCCAAAATGTCCCTTAAACTTTTGGGCTATTCCCATCTGTACCGGGTCGGCCCGGGCCGGGTAGCCCCAGTCGGCCCCAGCCTGGCCCGGTTGATTCCACACATCCTTGTCTTAAGCCCATGTGGGCTGATTCTACCCACCAATCAGAGGCTTGCTCTAATGGAAGGTGTGAATTTGCTGTCAGCAGTGGGTGTGTTGGCCCTGGTCGGCCTGAAGCAGACCCCCTCGAGAAGAGGGCTGAGAATGAGCCTTGTTTGGCCCGGAAAAATACCAGGCCACCCAGATGTGTAAACAACCTACTCTACCCGGCCCGGGCCGACCCGGTACAGATGGGAATGGCCCAATAGTCAAAGGACAAACCAGACAGAAAATATGGAGAAAAAATATGATAGATGTGACACATCACACCATGCAACGTAAAGACAAAATATCCAACGTAAGCAAACCTGGTGTCGTTACTGATGAACTGATAAGTTTTTCCAAAGAAAGAAAAAGAAAGAAAGAACATTTATCAGCGGCTATTATTTGCTGGAATGTTTTCACAGCATTTTATTGCACGTTTATCTCTCCTTCACTCGAAGGTGGAAATAATTCAGTGTGGATCTCTTACTGAAATAAAATGATTTGCATTCTTTTTATCATTAACATAACCTTTAACAAAAATCAGCACATTCCAGCTTTGGCATAATCCTTTTCTTATCTTCTGTTTCCAGCTCCTTCACGTCAAGCATGTTTGAGCAAAATGTGCAAAGAAAAGATCAGAGACCTAAAACAAGAGGAAAAAGAAACATCTGTAACACTTCCTTTTACAGTCCCGTAATTACTAAGTACTTACATGGTAAATACATAGTAAGTTAAAGTGTATTATTGTGTAATTAAAGTGTATAATTGTAAGAAAGTGTAATTATTGTGTAAAGCTGTATTAACTTGGAATTTTTACTACAAATAAAAACTAGAATTGAACCTGAGTTACATGGTAAATAACTTTTCAAGAACTCAGAAACAATAATACACTTTAACTTACTATGCAGTTACTGTAAGTACCTAGTAATTAGGACAATGTAAAAGGAAGTGTTACCGAAACATCTTCCTGCTCTAAGCTAATGAAGACATCCAGTCCACGTTACGTTGGCCTATTTTCTCACCAACTCACAGCCTTCTGTCAGTGCTCTACTTTTTATGAACACAGTATCAAGATGTCTTTATTGTCAGACAGAGCTGCTCCCATCTGTGCTCCCCTCAGACTGCGGCCCTGTGAGCTTTCTGTGAATGTCAAAGGCGGAGCGGCTCCTCCTGGAGATGACAGGCTTCTGAACCTCCGCTGAGGGGAAAGTAGTCCAACCTGTGCAGCTCTGCATTTGCACAATCAGCCCATTCACAAGAGACAGAAACCTGAGCCTGCAGCTTTGGCAGTGCCAGTGCTCAATCCTTTGTTTGTGTACCCAGATTGCCCTACATTCAGATTTGTTTTGGGGAAAAACCAGGCTTACCTAAACCTTCTGATTCAAAGAGACAAGTTTCTCCCACTCCGACTTCCCGACACCAGGTCAGGAAGTTGGCGGTGTTGTCCCGCGCAAAAAATGAACCAGATGGAGCGCTCCGTCGACACGGTATCCTCTGATGTGGGGTTCTCTCCTGATGAGAGGTGAAAGCACAAAAATAAATTAGACTTATCAAATTCCACCACTGATTAAATGTTTTAGCTTCTCTTTCACTTTTTTTCCCCATTTCGTGAATATTCTAAGTTGTGATTGCTGATTCTACTGATCTGTCAAATAAAACTTCTTTGAACCTCCCTATACTAGTCTAAAAAATGCAGATTTAGCCTTCAAAGATGTTAAATTTAGACGTCCTTTCAATCTCTCAAGGCTCATCAACAAAAGGCAGGTTTTCTCCGATTCGTGTGGAGTGATTTGTTTTCAGCGCAGCGAGAATCAGATGGAGAGTCTGAAAGGCCACTCCTGGCCCTCAGGTTGCATTATGCCTATGAAAGGTTTAGTTTAATCTTTTGATTGAGACAGAGTAGACGCTAAAGTCTCCTCCATCTGCTAAAGCTCTGGTTTCATACTCAGATCAAGAGGCTTTTCCTCACAGATCAATATGAGAGATGACGGGTTAGAAAAGCGAAGCTACTTTACCAGACCTTCCATGATTTAGGATCAAATGACTCGCTCGTGAGTTTCAGCACCCACACTGTCTGTTAAGGGAGATTTATGCGCTTTGCTGCGGTTTTATGAACAATATATGTCTGTGCTTTGAGAAAGGTGCAGTGAGCTCATGCAGGAAATATGTTCGCTTCTGTGGGCATTTTTCATTTGATTTCAGGCTCTTTTTCTCTGGCATCGTTGTTTAGCTCTGTGTTGCATTAGCAGCGGTTTTTGCCCGTGACTTTTAATAAAACAATCAAACTGTCGTTCAGGTATTTCTGCTGTTGCTGGTTGTATTATCAACAACTCTTGCAAACAATGAGAGTGGTTTGCTTAAAGTGTAATTTTTGCATTTGTTTCAGAAAGCACAAAGAAAAAAAAACATTTATAAGTTTGTTCAGGCAAAACAAAAAGGCTTTTAGTTGTTTATTAATGTCTGATTATGGAATGATCTTCCATTAACTGTGCGACTCTCCACGTCAGTAGAGGTTTAAATCTGTGTGTTAACTGATGTTTTGTATTTTGCTGTTTTTAATTTTTTTAATGGGTTCCTATATATTCTTTGTTTTTATCCTTTTAGTTTAGTCTTGTGCAGCACCTTGGTGACATATGTCTCTAAAGTGTTTTTATAAATAAAGGTGATGATGATGATGATGATGACATAATATGTTTACACATTTTAAATGTAAATGCAATCATGTCTGACTCTCATTCCTGGAGGAGATCAGGAGATTTTCTTGTGCAAACCTTTCCTGACATGCATGTCCTTTTTGTGAAGCTGTCAGTGCATCAGATTGTTCATTTTCTTTTGTTCCTTCTTCTAAAATGCAAATTTCACTCACACTCAGATGGACTTCTTCACACTAAACTCATGTTGCAAAAAGCACATGTCTTTGCCAATCAGATATCTTTTGCATCAGCAGTTTTAAAGGGATACTATACTATACTACTACTACTACTACACTATACTAGACTTGCAACTTCAGAGTGGCGGGCCGTCTTCTACTAAAAGCAGCATGCCTGGTGCTGCAGTCATGCTTCCAGCACGTTTCCTCCATGTTTCAGATGGTGACCACAGCCAATTTGTTTGATTTAGTGATTAACCGCTCCTGTAGAAACTAATGAAGGCTGATGAGACATTTCAGCAGGTAGATTAATGCGTTAAAAAGACTTGCACTTTTGCTTTCACTAAACGGACAAAAGGGGGCCCTAAAAGCAAACCGAAACTGCTAGTATCCCTGTAATGTAAACGTTTTCCTTTAACTTTTTGCTGTACCTCATCTAAATGTAAGCAAGCTGTAGTGATGCAGCATATACGTCTCATTGTCCCAATGTAAGGGTTTTGTGAGTCAGAGGTGCAGAACCCAAATGGTGAGCATTCCTTTTGTCTCTTCTTTTTATTTATTTTTTACTTAAATTTACAGCAGAGCTTGGACACACACAATTGTTTTCTGTTAACTAGCTTTATAATTATCCTCAATTACACTGAATAGTCAAAAGCTTGGAATGACTGTTTTTTTATGTGATGTGTGATACTTTTAATGTGAACATCAATTTACTATTCATGCAAAATCTCTGTGTCTGTCCCCTCTGCTGTCTGTGTCTCCTAGTCTGCACCATCAATGTGCTCCTCTGTTTCAGTAGCTTCACTTCTGTCCCAAGGTCACCGACCTCAACTATTTCCTCACATCTGTGTTGCTGCACTCATGTTGAGATCAGCAGACCCACGGTCATCAGTGATGCCTCAGTGCAAACACAACAACTCTCGCTGAACAAAAGAGCCTTTGGCTGCTTTCCCTTTGAACTAAACACATGGTCTGATCTGTGCTTTCCTCTGCTGGAACCATGTTACTTCTGAAAAGGAGACATCAAGTTATCTGTAGGTGCACAGCTGATCTGACATGACAGTCATGCATTCTGTCTTTTAGAGCAAAAGATAAAATGTGTAATTATTTCTCTACAATTAAGTTATTTGATTCCTCCAGCAGCTTCACACATGCCCAGTCATTTGCAGTCTGAAGGTAGAGGAGTTGACATCTTCTGCTCTGACTGCAGCTGGGAGGGGGACAAGTCCTGGAAGACTGGGCCACCTGCGAGTGCTTTGGGACTAGGGAGGAGCTCATCGCAGCAGCTGCTGGTCGGTGAGACAAGCAAATGCGAAACATGCTTTCACATCAGAGTCTACAACAACTCCAATAACTACAGAAAAAGTACCTAACTTTGTTTAGTCACTTTTTTGGAACGTGTCACTAGAAAGGCATGAAAACTCATTCAATACTGCAACAAGGTTGATCATTCTGCAACACTGCCTCTGCTAATCAGGATCAGCAAACATAAAAGGCTTTAACTCAGTCAATTGTGCAGATATTAAGCTAAAAATTGCAATAATAGAAAATTGTGATATTTTTTATGTTTGGCCCAATAGGCTGTTACGTGACGATTTTATGACCTTAGAATAAAATTTCGGCATATAAGGTAGAAGATGACATCTCATACTTCAAGGAGCAGGCATTTAGGGTTTTTGCACATCCATCACTTTTTGTTTTTATGATCTCTGACCCAACAAAATCGCAAAGAGTAGATAAGATGAGTTAGAGTTTTTTTACAAGATAAAAATGCATACAATTCTCACTCAAGGCTTACAAAACATTTCTTCCAATTCTCTCAGGGGCAGCGGGGCCCCGTCAGTTAGTGTGTCCTTGCTCAGCTTATTATTTTTTCCCCCTCTTAGCCCTTTTGGATGCTGAAAGACCCCATCCCCCATGTCTAGGCACTCTTTTCTAAAACTGTGGGTTATTTTAAATTATTATTATTATTATCATTATTATTATTATTATTATTATTATTATTATTATTATTATTATTATTATTATTATTATTATTATTATTATTATCATTGTTATTGTAAAATTGGAACTCTGCAGTGCAGCAGGTCTGATAAGAGTGTAGTTTTCTGAATCATTTTAGGTTTTTAGGTCTTTGGATAAAAGCCTTTGATGTAGCCGTTTTTTGCCTCCATTAAAGTCAGTTTCCTGAAACAAACACTCAAAAAAATGTAATCTTGGTTTTGAACTGAACACTTGAGACCAAAGCGATCACCATTCATTCTGATCAAATGAATTCCTGCTCATGTGATGTTTTCCTGCTCAGAATCAATCATCTGCTGAATTCATTCACACTGAATGCTAGTCTGGGAATACATTCCTGCCTCTATTAAAAGTCTCAGTGCTTTTCCTGTAATCTGCATCATACCAGATTATTAGAGCCCCCAGACATCCTTGTCTGTACCTTGCTGCTGGTGCCAGGTGAAGGCAGGTCTCCGTTACTCTGCCTGAACTTCTCCTGCAGTGTTTCAGCCAGTTGGCACAACAGGAAGCCATTGTCCAACTGAACCATGAAGCTCTCCGCAGTGATTTCCAGGCCTGAGCAGGGGGACACATAAAAACTGCAGATATAATATATAATGAAATTAAACTCAATCTCCAGTCCTTGCCAGTTTGAAGCTGAGTCTGATGTAAGGTTTTTGATTCTGGAAAAGCGCTTTTATAAGAAACTCTCAGCCTTAAAATATGAAAATAAGATTTGGGGAATTCGGTGGGGGGTTCCTGGTTGATTAGTGAGATATACAGACGAGAACACCTAAAAGAAGGTTATGCTGGATTACAACACATTATCCTGCAGTCACAGAGACGTATCGGTGATCAGCATGTGGTGTCTGATTGACTGACTTCCAGAGGACCATTCTTCAGGAGTGAGGTCATCGTGAAACAGGAGGTGGTGGCAGGCGGGTGGAGGGGGTGTCTGTGGAAAGAAACTGGAGAGATTTCTTTCTTTTTTTTAATCCCTTTTCTGGTTCTTATAAGAGGAGGGGTTTGGGGGTTCGATGTTTAATGAGTTCCAAATGTTGCAGCAAAGCCCAGAAAAAAAGAGATCGAGATCATGAGAATTACTGAGTTCCTGTTTTATTCTCACACTCAACCCCCCGTTTGGCGTGAGAGGAAAATATACAACCACAGGGATCAGAAATATTCCAACTAAACAGCTAATGACCAATACCTCTCTGTTTCTTTAACCTATAACTCAAAAACATTTAATCAATTCTGCTTTTCTCTCTACCTGAAACTTAATTAAGAACATCTGTGAAGAGATTACAGTCACTGGTCTGTCAGCAGACCAAAGGGTTCCAGCTGGTTTCAATGCAAACAGACAACAGCAGGATCTTCAGTTGTTTTAACTTTTACACTGTGAACCCGGATAAGTTAATAGAACCATTCTGAAACTGAAGTTGGAGTTCAATGTACTCAAAATAAGAAAAAGTTGAACTAACTCAACACATTAGAATTTTTAAAACAGTTAAAACAGACTTTTCTCTGAGAATTGTAAGTATTCCTATAAAAATTTAAGAAGATTTTTGGTCATAATCAGATTTTTTTTACCTCTAAAATAATCAAAAACAAATAAAAATTGACACTTTAACCCTCCCACTGTCTTTATGGGTGACTCCGCGAGGAAAGTTGACCATTAAGCAGGATTGATGGTTTATACCTTGAGGTCCACGTGGCAGGGTGAGGCGGCGCTCACTCCTCACCCCTGCCACATGGACCTAAGGGCTAAACCATCAACCCTGCTCAATGGTCAACTTTCCTCGTGGGGTCACACCCATTGGGAGGGTTAAATAAATGCTCCTTAAAGGATGATAACCGTAATTGCAAAGGAAAATCTAAAAATGATATTTATGTTTGAATAAAAGTTTAAACATTATTGCCTTACTTTAATATTACTGTAGTAGTAATAATAATAGTATTATGGCCCCCAAACAATTAGAATTTTTACAAAATTGTCATAGTTTTTTTGTTTTTTGTTTGAATGTTAAAGCATTACAACGTTATGTGAATTCCTTATTAATTCACTTGAGTTTTGCACCACTACAGAGCACAGAGCTGCACCCTTTGCTGCTTATTTCTCACAAACGGCTGTGCATCATTTAGGAAATGTTAATGATGCTCATTATTCATTCAATGTAATCTATAGAACACTGATGTTGGCTCCCAGTTTGTTGAATTCAAAGGTTTGTAATGAGGTTCAGATTGATTCCAGCTCCCTGCAAAGGTGTTTACAACAGCAAGTTATTGCTAAAGATCATATGAAGCTTTAGAAACATTCAACAGAGTAAGCTGATGTATGGATTCTAATACATTAGCAAAAAGAATCAGAGTAATTTATGACACGCTTTTATCTTAAAGTTGTATTTTTTTTAAAGATTTATTCTGATCAACTGCTGCTCAAATTATAACTATAATGCCACCAGGATTCACAAATTACTCACCGAGTATATTGGTGAGCCACAGAGCCAGGTCTTCCTTCATGGGCAGCAGGCTGGCTTCATGCCGACTGGAAAGCCACTGGTGGTACTGCTGCATGTCCGTCAGCCCGGGTCCACAGGCCTGTTTGGGATTCAGTGAGCTGTTCATGGTTCCCTACTGATGACCTTAAGGATGGTCCGGAATATTGGAAAACTGCAGGTCAGATCAATTTGTACAATTGTAAATGCTTGTGATGAATCTGTGTCAATATGGAAGTTGGCACAATATAAGTAAATCAATACATCAGATCTGCTCATTTAATATCTGAAGCAAGTATTGATCTGGCAGTTAAATGAAAAATCATTAGATTTTGTTTCAGGTATGTTTGTACAGTTTTTATGATCATTAACGATGGGAATTATTCTTGTTCTTGATTCAAGCTGCTTTTCCTTTAGCAGTGGATCATGTTTTAATCAACAACAAAATTCTACATTAAATAATAAAACACAAAGGGCCTTAATGGTGCCATCCATTCAAGTCACACATTTGTTAAGACCTTTACAAACAGACATAATGGGCTTTGGTGTTGCTGCTGAACACCAGAAATGTTTGGCTTTTGAGCTTTTATATACAAAATCTGATCGTTTTCTTTTGCCCTGACCTGTCTGGACTCATTAGTTATAACACAAACGTGTTTAAACGAACAAAGTCAAGAGAGGTGAAACTATAATACTTTACTGGCATCATCTCAAGTTTTTGTGTTTTTTGTCAAGATACGAAGTTAATAATTATTTGTATTGATTTTGACAAATAAAAATGATCTTTCTGTTTCTGTATCACAATGAAATGATATATTTTTGTTGTTTTCATAAGAAATTAGAATCTTGTTAGTAACTGATTCAGGCTGAAACCGAACAGAATTCTCAGCAAACAAATCATGCAGGATAAAGGATCATCTCCATGAGTCAGGGCAGCATTACTGAAAAGCAGAAAAAGGTACAAAAGATTAAGACAGCTGATCAGAATCTCACAAACATGAAAGTAAAAGCAGATTTATTGGAATAATGTTACAAAAAGGTTTAGGTGCCTGTGGCAGACATTATGACTTGAGAGAATATGTGGAAAATAATAATAATAATAATAATACATTTTATTTAAAAGCGCCTTTCAGAACACCCAAGGTCACTTGACAGAAAATACTTCATAAAATACAATAAAACAATAATAAAACCCAAACAAGAAAAAACAAAGAGAGAAACAGTTCAATACAATCAGAGGTTGTAGGCAGATTTAAACATATGTGTTTTGAGTTTTGTTTTGAAAAGGGTAAAACTGTCAATGTTCCTGATGTCTGTGGGGAGTGAGTTCCAGAGATGAGGAGCAGAGCGGCTGAAAGCTCTGCTCCCCATGGTAGCGAGACGGGCAGAAGGAACCACAAGATGGATGGAAGAAGAATATCTGAGTGAACGGGACGGGGTGTAAATACTTATAAGGTCTGAGATATATGGAGGAGAGAGGTTGTGGATTGCTTTGAAGGTATGGAGGAGAATTTTGAAGATGGACCTGAATTTCGCTGGGAGCCAGTGAAGCTGTTAGAGAACCGGGGTGATGTGGTGAAAGGAAGGGGTTCTGGTGATAATATGGGCTGCTGAATTCTGGACCAGTTGCAGTTTATGAAGGAGTTTGTTGGGGAGACCATAAAGAAGTGAATTGCAATAGTCGATATGGGAGGTGACGAGGCTGTGGACGAGAATGGCGGCAGTGTGAGGGGTAAGGGAGGGGCGAAGACAGTTTATGGAACGTAGATGGAAGTATGCTGACCGAATTATGTTATTAATGTGAGCTTGAAAAGAAAGTGAGCTGTCGAGGATGACATCCAGACTCTTGACGTGAGGGGACGGGGAGACTATGGCGCTGTCAATAGTTAAACAAAAGCTGTCAGATTTTGAGATGGTGGATTTAGTGCCAACTAGAAGAAGTTCAGTTTTATTGCTGTTGAGTTTGAGGAATGAAAAGAGGAAGTCCAGTTGTACTTTTGTTCTCACGGTCAAATTGTGGTAAGGATTAGAATTAACCTGAAGGTCTGAGACAGTAGCGCTCCAGTCCATGCCAGAATTGGACCAGGGACATTTTCATACCTGACAACTCATACAGTGGGAGTTTTATTAACCACACACAGAGCTTTTTGTTTACTCCGCCATCAGTAATAGAGTTTGTTAGTCAGTGTCAAGAAAAAGCAGCAGCCGGACTCACAGGGATCGATAGAGTTTGACATCAATATTCAGAGTGTTTTCTTAGCTGCAGCTTTCAAATCTGCTTTAAAGAGATGCCCCTGCACAAATAAGACACAACCTGCTGAAGTGTTGCCAAATTTTCAGCTACAATAAGAAAAACTGGCTTCAAAAGAAACAAATGCATACCAGATGTGATCCAATAAAAAAGACGTCAGCAGCTCATTCACAACCTGAACCATGAGCTGTGTTTATGTCACTGATTCAGACATTCTCGTGCTGCATCAATGGCAGCATCACATGGATACAGGATTTTGTTTTTCTGAGGCTGACTTTAGGTTGTTGCAGTAATCAAAATTATAATATAATTGAAAAAAAAAGATTAAATGTGGTTCTTTTAGGGCAGAAAATATTTGTACAGTTCAAATGTATCTGTAGATTTAAACTCAGATGACTGATGTGTTATCGATTTTGAGATTTTACAGCACTTTATGGGCTTGCACATATATGCTCACAATGATTATTTCCCTTTCTTTTCCAAAAAAAGTATGATTTATTTTTGCTGCAATCAATTTTATTAGTTTCCCACATCCCAGTAAAATTCAACAATTCCCAACACCTATAAGAAGTAATGCTTCTGACATGATCACGACTGAACATCCTGCCAAGCTGGTCCCTCTTCTCCCTAGGAAAGAGCCTGGGGGAAACATTCCTTCTTCCTCTCACCACACAGCAGTTTGACCTCTTCTTCCTCGGGTCCAAAAAGCACCATAATGCTAAAGGGCATGTTTCATCTGCTGAACTTTTGGCAGGATTATGGTCAAAGATGGATGTCTGATGAATCCCTCGAGGCTAAACGTGTTCTAATTTTATAGAAATATTGTCAGTCAGGAGGTGCTGTGACTTCCACAAAGCCTCTGATAGATTACTCCACTGACAGCACGTGGATGGCAATTTTGACTGCTGAATTGCATCAGTTAGAAAACACAAGACTGACTCTGTCCTGTTGACCCTTGCTGCCTTCCACTTGTACAACAGTAAATCTAAGACAGATTTACTGACACAGTCAAGAAAACTCCTCTCTGCAATAGCGCCTCGCTAATGTAACAATAAACATATAAGAAAAACTGACAAAAATGCACAAATTAGAAAAAATATAAAGTTATTTTTGCTACCTTCATTTTATTTTATAGTGCAATAATTTCCTGCAAAATTAAAAATGATATTACTACCAAGCTGCCTTCTGCATTCAGTGATGTCAACATTCATAAACAAAATTCATCTCAAGAAAATAAACACAACCTTGCTTGAAATTGGCGCAGACTTAACCTGAACTTTTAGCACGCTGCAAGATAATTCATGTTCCCTTCAGCAATAAGGTTTCTAAGTTGTCTCATACTTTACAGCTTTCACATATAAAAAGAGCCACAACAGACACTTTCCCAGCCTGGAAAGATGATCAAGGCTGGACGCCTAATGAGTTATGTCTGAGCATTCCCTCATTAAAAGCATGGAGTGACTGAGAGCTGCAGCCTAGGAGAATAAGTCACATGTGAATAAGTGTTTTGAGATAAATGACAAATAAGCAAACAGAATGAAATGCTAACATTAACTACAGATGCAAGGTGAACTTTTGAACTCAGTGGATGTTTTTATTCTGAGCAAAACTTTTTAATGAGGGGAAAAAACAATCTGGAAACAGATTATAGGTTCAGATCAGGTCTCACCCTTTGGTTCAGCTCACTCGTCCTGCGGAAGTTGGATCCCAGGTTTCATGCTTCCCACGGAGGTCCAAGTTAAGCTCCGAAACATCGAACTAATGTGGATAGGGGAGGTCTTTCTTAGTGCGCATTTTACAGAGATTTGCCTGCATACTCAGAGAGAGAAAGAGAGAGAGCACATTGCTGCTGCTGCTGCTGCGATGATGATGATGATAATGCCGTTCCTCCCTCCTCGTATCTAGATATGGAACTACTGGATTGGATTCCGTTGGACATTCTGGGAAATTACCCCGAATCGCTGATTGAATGTGCGTGAGAACGCACTTGTGTTTTCTGCATTGTCCAATTTATTTTAGTGCAACTCTGATTAAACTTAAATTAAATCTAATAGTTTGATTGTGGTCCAAATAGGAACAGTTTCTTTGTGTTTTTTAATTGTTGTAATATCTTGATGGACTGGAAAATTCACATTTTTGAGTTTCTGTATGTGAATGAATTTTATTTTGAAGGGCCAAATTCTCAAATGTGTCGCATGCGCATAAATAACCCAAACCGGAAGCGGTGATGGAAAAGAGAAAATAGAATACAAGTAAGTTTTCAAGTGGGATACATCTGTTCTGTATCCATGCTTTTGAGGTATTTATTGAGGAAAGCCGTTTATGTTCTATTAGAGAAATGTGTTCCTTAAAATAAAATATGTTTTGAAACGTTCTACCGGAAAGTTGTTTACCGTGATATGTTTACGTCATTATAGCTAAGCTATGAGCTAACTCACTACTTTAGCATGTTTTTTTTTCTTTTTTTGGAGGTATTTTGTGTTCATTTTTATTGTTTTTTTTTCTTCAGTCGGTGCCCATTTCCAGAGTTCAGAGGCTGGACTGTGAATGCAGACAGCGCCACATGGAGGCGGTGCTGAAAAACGTGTCCGTTACCGTGGAGCTGCTAGCCGTGGCTGCTCGCAGCAATGCAGTGAGTCAGTGGGATGAGCAGACTCTGTCCAGGGCTTTTCACTGGGCCAAATACTGCGAGCACATCTATTCCAGGTTCCACAATAACACCGCAATAAGAAGAGTTATGGAGCAACAGCTGCAGATCACAAATCAAAGTTTGCGACATGTTTTTCCTGGATATTCTCACGTTTCCTTCTCGGATCTCCGCCGCTGCCAACACGTGCTGCTTGTTGGCCTGCTAAACAACCCCGAGCTGCCAATCACCATTATGAAGACGCTTTTTAAAACTCCAGTAAACATCATAAATAACGACTTTGAGGATGTCACTGGCATCTGCAGCCACCTGATCCGGTGTAAATCAGCTTGTAAAGTCCTGCGTCCTCTCTCGGCTCTGTCAGCTGTTGGTGCTGATGCTGAGGTGCAGGGAGAGATGTTGATGGAGAGGCTTGGTGCTATGTTGAGCCAAGGCAATGAACTCTGTCGGGTAGAGCACTTTTTGTGCTCTGTCCTCCAGGACTCTGAAGGTGCAGTGCAACATATGTGTCTAGTCATCGCAGCAGCTTTGCTGACAGCAAAAGGCTCGGCTGAACAAACTGCTTCTCAGGATTTTCTCCTAGAGTGGCTGCAGAGTCGGCACAATCTTCTGCATAACTTGTGCACAATGCTGCCTTCTGCAATTCTTAAAGAGCTGGCTAAAGGACACCAGAAATTTAGAGATTCGTTCTGCCACATGCTTAAAAAGTGGGCTACAGAGATGGAGTACAGCATAACCGAAGGCGAATGGATAAACAACAGCACAAACACCACAGTGACCTTCCAGAAGCTGACTGAGTTCTTCCTGTTATTGTTTGAGGCCTGTCCATCTGTGAGGAGGAATACAGAAGAGGAGATGAGACTGTTTAAGATTTCTGATGGAGACTTTGATGTTCAGGGATTAAGTGTGTGGGGAGATCTCCTGTCAGAGTTAAACAAGTGACTGTTAGATTTTGAGGTTCCTTATAGGCAGAAAATATCCAAGTCTGTGTTTACACATTGATCTTTGTTTTAGTTTGTAATAACGGTGTTGGAATGAAGGTATTTGTTTTATATTGACTTGTCGGCTTTAGTTCTCATGATACGTAAGTTTTTTATGATTTAGCAGATTCAGACATTTAGGATTGTTTGGTACCAAGTCTAAACTTACTATATCTCACCAGCAGACGTATTAAAAAGTCTAAAATAAAAATAAATTACCCAATGGAGCTGATCTTTTTATTTAGTAGAAGTTGCCCATACATACAGACCCCCCTCTCCATGTTTACACTAGTGTCATGTAAAAAAAATAAAAATGTCTTGAGGCCTAGAGATTTTGATAAGGTAACGTTCAAATAAACTTATGTCAATTCTAATACTTGTGTGGGATTTTTTTTACTTCTAACAATTAGCTTTTAATTTTGTTTGGTTTTATTACAAAACAGCTTTGAATAAAGGATAGCGTGACTTAAAACAAAATCAGTCTGAAGTTTTGGACTATTTACACATCAGTGTAGTTTTCGGACATTTTGCGGTTAATGTTGGTCTCGTTAGTCATCACACACTGATGAAATTCATCTCCGCATTTGACCCATCCTTGTGGGGAGCGGTGAGCTGTAGCTGTGGTGCCACGCTCAGGAACTATTTGGTGGTTTAATCCCCCAATCCAACCAAGCAGGGAGGCATTGGGTCCCATTGTTAGAGTCTTTGGTATGACCCGACCAGGATTCAAACCCTGATCTCCCAGGACGGACACTCTACCATTAGGCAACCCTGTTACCAAGACGTAATACTTAGTTTAAAGTGACAGTGTGTATTTTCCCTGGCAATAGGGGGCAGTACATACCTAAATCGTTGCAACAAGCATTATTTTTGTGTTCAAGTAAGACATTACCAACAGATGACCATGAGGGTCACAAATTTCCTGGGAGTGCAACCTCCAGCAAAATATCAAGGACATCAGATTCCCTTTCATCACTGGCAACGAGTGAAGAGATAAATGTGTAAAACAACAGCATTTATTAATAGTGAATATTTTGTGACCATTTGTTACAAATCAGTAAATGCATTTTGTCCTCACGGGCTTCCATAGAAGCAAGTATGGCATCACCCAGAGACCCGCTCCCATGTATTTTAGAACAGATTTTTATGGTTATATGTAGGGCTGTCAGCCTGTCACGGTAACCACAAGAAGAAAATATCGCGATATTAAGAAACCCACCGCGCTGCATGACGTGCCACCGCCATTACCGCACTTGATTAAATCTCGCGACAGCGCATGCTGAGAGGGAAAGTCCGCGCTGATCGAGGAGATAGTACACATGGAAGATGGAGGGAGCGGTGTCAGTGCGTCAGCTGCAGCCCAGCCAGAGACCTTGGAGCAGGCAGTGCTGCCACCAACGGCAAAGAAAAAAACGCTTGGAGACCTGCTGAAGTCACGGACAAGGACATCTTCTGCAACCGTCCCGAAGAGAGTTAGAGCCGAGCTGGAGCTCACTCGCTACCTGCAGGAGGAACCCATTGACCCTAATGAAAACCCTCTGACATGGCGGCGCAACAACCATAAGAGATTTCCATTGCTCTCCAAAGTCGCACATAAGTACATGTGTATTTGTGCAACAAGAGCACCATCCGAGAGGGTTTCTAGTGTCGCTGGAAATGTTGTCACCCCTCTCAGATCCTCTCTCAACCCGCATAAGGTTAACATGCTGGTTTTCCTTGCGCGTAACAAGGACATGACCGAGTTTTAAATCACAGTTATTCTTGTGTGTGAAAGTGAAATGACAGTGCCTGGGACATCTCATTTTGTATACTTTATTTTAAACCACAAAACAAAACTGGCACTTTTTAAATTTCTGTTAGATGTTGCAGCCAAATTTGCATTTCAAAGTTAAACCTCCTGAATGTTGTTTTTAAGTTCAGTCAGAAAATGCCGTAACTGCCCTTTGATCTGCATTCAATAAAGTGTTAAATATGGCCATGTATTTTTTCTAACATTTTTTAAATGTGTAAGCACAATGTTTCAAAGGAAATATTGCCATGAGTTTAGTAAATAACAAACAAATTTGCTAAATACATAAATAAAAACGGGGTGCAATAATATCGCATACCGCAATATTGAGCTGCCCTGACTCACCGCAGGGGGAATTACTCAACCGCGACAGCCCTAGTTATATGTTATGTAACTGCCAATATTTTTCAACAACTGAGCATCTTTTAAGTAATTTACAACAAAATTTCAATGGATATTTCCAGAGAATAATGGTAAAACATTGTCACTTTGAAATTTTTTGAAAACTGTTGAATATTAGGGAAATATTTCCAAATTTCAAGGATCTTAATTAAGGGGTTGGTATGAAAGGAAGGCAAAACAATCAAACATTAGTTAATTTCAAATTTTGCACACCTGGAACACTTTAATTTTCTCTCACCTCATTCATCTACGCCCTCTGAAGCGCTCCAGACTAGTACATGTTGCATGGCTGGATACCAGTCATGTGGCTCGACTCCCAATTTGCACAGCTCAGACCTTGCCCACGTGTCAGAGCACCTCTGTGGCGAGGGATCATTAGTGGGATCTTCAATCAGACCAGCGACAATAGCTGGTGTGAGACTCGTCTCTGTCAGAGGGAGGAGACCCTCCGTCACCGCGTGGAGGAAACACCAACACCAGCCACGGCTGGCTGAACACACCGTGAAAGCAATTCACACAGAGACAGATGAGGGTCACTGAACAAAGGGCAGCTTGTACACAACCAATTTATTCCCGACCAATAAAAACATATATGTCAGGCTGGATGAGATCCAGCAGTCATAATCCTAACCTGCTGTGCTGCAAACACATTTAAATGTATTCAAATTCAGTTAAAGGTAAGATGAAAACAAAGAAATGAATCCACACAATAATGGATTTTTTTATGCTACTGTTAGAAAGAAAGAGAAGCTTCAGAATTTTCATACCTGATGTTTTTATTTATTTTGGGTTTGACTTCTTTCACAGCTTAACTGACAGAGCAGGTGATGACCCGCGGGTTACCGGCAGTAAGATTTTAAAGCTCTGCCTGTGAAGCTGTAATTTTTGCCTTTTTTGTTATTAAATACCAGTAGAACCTAAGCCCAGAGGAAAACATGACCCACTTATATTATTAATAATCGTAATCTTGAGTTGACTAATGAGAATGAATCTTTCTTGCTCATTACTGCTTATTATTGACAGCAGGTGTTTGTTTTTTCCATAAAACGTTACTTCCAAACAGATAAAAGCAGATTTTATTGTTTAATTATAGCATACTCTGTTTGCTCCTATATTCCATCCAACTTGTTTTCAGCCATATTGGGGTGACAAACAGTGAGACGTGCTGACGGGGCCACTGCTGTTCTGCTGCTCCTAAAGGGTCATGAAGAATAGCATTCATTAAAACTCAGATCCAGCCACCATCTGGTGCTGTGAATATGGAGTCCTCTGAATGGGGGTGTAGATCCCTCCCTCGGCACGTGCCAGACTGGGGGGGGGGGTGGTTAGGGGTGCTGTCCCTGAACACACTTGTGTCCCAGTCTGAGCACGCTGGTGATCAGTGGTAAAGGTCCTCAAGGATGAGTGGCGGAACAGTCAGCATTTCTGTAAATGTGTGTTAAATTTATTTTATACTAGACATCGATGCAACTTTCATCAATAAATAGTTTTGTTCAAAGGAGTTGGGTTGTTGCCAGAAATGCTATCAAGACAAAAACGGACAAAATCAATCAATTGGTTGAGTTTAAAATTCATTTATTCAAGACAAATATCTTGTTTAAGATTGCCAAATGGGGATAAGGAGCTCCTAAACTCAGCGCTGCGAGCTGCATTTGATTGAGAGAATTTAAGGAAAAATCTTTCTTTAAAAATGTGATCAAATACAGAAGAAAGAATATCCGTTCTAAATAAAGAACATCAGAACACAAACAGAACTTAACCGTTATCAGTAATCATGTTAAATCATATCATCCTTTGTCTGTGTGTGATATCATGAGAGCCTGTTTGAAGGTGTCAGTGTAATCTGATATGGGGGAGGGGAACCAGATGGATGTCAGCTAGATAGCATCACATATGAAAGTAAAACCAACTCATAGTTGGATTCTTCCACCTCAGATTCCTTTCGTCTTCCAAACATATTCGTGCCATTGCTGCCTGATTACAGAGAGGGAAATAAATGCTATAAAGCTAATAATTTACCTCAGATGAATGAGTTGAGAGTTTCATTGTTTCTGGGGATTCAGCAGGACAGACTGAAGAAACATTTGCAGCATCCTGGCAGAGCATCTTTAGCAGAATCTCATCTTGAAAAACAAAGAATGACAGGACACAGAGTTGGGAAGCAGCTAAATTGTCATTTCTCTGTGTGTTATTGGGTGGAGGTCAGTGATGTATAACGTTATTTTGTATTGAACCACTTTTGGCAGGTTGCCTCTCCACTAACAGTGAACGTGAGGGAGGTGTGTGTAAATTCATTTGCCCTGAGGTAGCGTAATGCTTTGCAGGAGGTTGTCATAAAACAGTAATTACTCCAGTGCCTCTTTGAAATGGAGGGTTGTAATTACATGATCTCTTCGCATTGGAGGGAGCTGAATTCTAGATGAGAAATTAAGGGATATTGAGTGAGTGAGGAGGGAATGCTGTGGACATTTGGAGGAGGGATCAGGAGGATAATTGGATGCAGACAAAGTCTCATGGGGAAGCATGCAACCCTGTCATCAAACACTCATTCTGGCTGGGCCTCATCCCATTACAGTCCCCAAGGAGCTCAAACGCACCTGCCCCCGACCGACCACTACCCAATCCCCCTTCCCTCAACCACAGATTACACAGCCAGACAAACATCAGAGTGACTGAGCCTGAGATGCGGCAAAAATAAGGTGTGCTGTGCTGCAGACGAGCAGAGTGCTGAGAAAATCTCACCTGTAAACACTGACGGGTTTAACTCTCTCACTGCAGAGCGCCCTAACAGGCACGGCAGGTGTAACAGCCATGACCACAGCGGCTGGTTAACCATGAGAAAACATGTTCCACATCACTGGTAACACAATTGTGCTTTCTGTCAATTAACGTGCTCTCGGAGGCGGGCAGCAGTGAGCGTTAATGGCTTCCTTTTCTCAGCTGGTTGGATAATCAGAAGAGAAGCAGAGATTTATTGTAATTGCTGCCAGGATGTTACTGGGGATGATTCAGACATGGAGCTGCTTTCTGTGATCGACCCATCAGTCAGCTCAGCTGAAGGTTACAGCACACAGACTATCCATCATGTGTGGAAAAGTCTTAACCCACACACGCATGCACACACACGTACACACATGCACACACAGAATACAGACGTTACAATGGTTATTTACTGGATCTA